GGAAGTCGGCAGAAATTCCTACTCAGCGGGAGGGGTGGGGGGCGGCCTGAGGGGGCGGGAGAGGGTCCGGCCCACGCTGCACCTGGGCTGGGACTGGTCCCGCCGGCGCAGGGTAGCAGGAAGCTCTCCACACACTCACGGGACCTGGCCTAGGACTGGGTCTCAATATAATTCTTAATGGGGAAAAACAAATCTTTTACTCTCAAATCAGGCACAAGACAAGGATGTCCTCTATCACCCCTCCTATTCAATGTAGTTCTGTAATCATTAGCTACAGCCATTTGGTAAGACAGAGAAATAAAAGGAATAAGAACAGGTAAAGAAGAAGTGAAACTATCCTTGTTTGTAGATGACATGATACTTTACTTGGAAGACCCAAAAAACTCCACCAAGAAGCTACTAGAGTTGATAGACAAATTCACTTGCATAGCAGGATACAAAGACAATACCCAAAAGTCAATAGCATTCCTCTATACAGATAACAAACACATTGAGAGGGAAATTAGAGAATCAATACCTTTTACAATAGCCCCACAAAAAATGATATACCTTGGAATTCCTGTAACTAAAGAAATCAAAGATTTTTTCATGGAAAATTACTGTACTCTGAAAAAAGAGATTGTAGAGAATTTCACAAAATGGAAAGATATTCCCTGCTCCTGGATAGGAAGAACCAACACCGTGAAGATGGCTATACTCCCAAAATTGTTGTATAGATTTAATGCAATCCCTATTAGACTACTACCAACATACCTCTCAGACCTAGAGAAAATTTTCCTATAATTTATTTTGAACCAAAAAAGACCTAGAATAGCAAAAGCAATCCTGGTCAACAAAGACAAAGTAGGAGGCATTATAATTCCTGACTTGAAATTATACTACAAAGCAATTGTAATAAAATCAGCATGGTATTGGCAACAAAATAGACCTGAGGTTCAGTGGAATAGATTAGTAGATGCAGAAGCCTCTAGGAATGCACTCAGCCACCTGATCTTCGAGAAAGGGGCCAGACACTTACTGGAAGAAAGATAGTCTCTTTAACAAATGGTGCTGGAAAATTTGGCTCTCTACATGCCAAAAACTAAAACTTGACCCAGGTCTATCACTATGCACTAAACTAAAGTCAAAATGGATTAAAAAACTGAACATTAAAACAGAAACACTAAATCTCCTAGAAGAGAAAGTAGGAGGATCTCTTGAAGACATAGGGATAGGCAAAGAGTTCATGAACAGAAACCAAATTGCATGGTAACTACTTGAAAGAATTAACAACTGGGAACTTCTCTTATTGAGAAATTTTTGCACGTCAAAAGAAATCATCAACAAAGTGAAAAGACAACCCACAAACTTTGAAAAAACTTAACTAATAAACACTCAGACAAAGGTCTGCTCTCTAGAATTTATAAAGAACTAAAGAACATTAGGGCCCCTAAATTTAAAGACCCAATCCAGAAATGGGCATCTGAGATCAACACACACTTCTCAGAGGATGAAATTAAAGAAGCGAATAAATATATGAAAAAATGCTCCTCATCACTAGCCATCTGTGAAATGCAAGTTAAAACAACATTGAGATACCATCTCACCCCAGAAAGAATGACTATCATAAAGAAATTAACCAACAACAAATATTGGAGAGGGTGTTGGAAAAGGGGAACCCTTCTCCACTGTTGGTGGGACTGTAGACTGGTGCAACCATTATGGAAATCAGTGTGGAGACTCCTTAAAAAACTAGGACTGGAAATCCCATTCAAGCCTGCTATCCCCTTACTGGTAATTTTTCCCAGAGGAACTGAAAACATCATATCATAGTGATATATGCATACCTAGGTTTATAGCAGCACAATTTGTGACAGCCAGATCTGGAAACAACCAAGATGCCTGTCACATATGGAATGGTTGAAAAAAATGTGGTACTTTTATGTAATGGAGTATTATTCAGCTACAAAGAATGATAAACTCGAAGCCTTCATATTTAAGTGGCTGCCACTTGAAGATATTCTTATAAGTGAAATAAACCAGACCCACATCTGTAAATATCATATTGTCTCCCTAGTATAAGAACTTAAAAGAGAAATTATATATAGAAAGTTACAACACAAATAAAAGGAAAGTGAGAACTTGAGGATTGGACAATGAGGAGTGGGCAAGGAGAAAAGCTGGGAAACATGCAGGGGCAAAGCCATACATTTATACAAATGTATGAGATGGGTGAGGCAGTGATCCTGGGGTACATCAGCAGGTTTTTGAGACTAGCGATTAGCTAGGGACACTCTCACCCTGACTGACTGTATATGCTATTGCCCGTGAGCCAGGTGGCTGTACTGAGGATGGCGATGTATAATAGAGGGGTCACGCTTGGAGTACTTGTCATCCTGGTCTTCTAAATATGTACTTCTTATCATGACATACCATTTATTGCCATAATGTCTCTCAAGTAAAGGCTTTTTTTTGGGGGGGGTAATAAATTGAAAAAAAAAAAGACAGAACAATAAGAAAAAAAATGTCAGAGGTCTGTCCTGTTACAATTCTGTATATGGTTAGATTTCTAAATTTCTTTGTAAAAATACGTTAATGTTTATTTCTACTTTTATAAAATTATTCATCCTTCATATTCTGTAAGGACTTAAAAGTTCAACATACCAATATGTGATGGAAAATACCTGTTCCATGATATGCCTATGTTTGATATGTAGGCAGACAAGGTAAACCGAACTGCATATACTGCAGGTTAATAATAAGCTTCTCTTGTGGAGGGTTAACAGCCTAAGTTAGCAGATCACAATTGGAGAAAAGGAAGGGCTGCAAGGTCAGCCAACATTTTAGCCCTAGCCTTTCAAGATCAGTGAAGACTCAGGACATAGGAGAACCTGTACTGTAACAACATGTAATTCAGTTGTGCTCCAAATTTTCTGAACAAGAAGATTATGGAGCCACAGAGGAATGTGATCGAGGATGTAGTGTGTGCCTGGGGAGAGTTGCACGGAGAGAAAAAACATTTTCTCAGGCTTTCCCAGAGAGCAAATTGGTCAAGCAATGGCCATGACTCATCCTCATGGTTGACACTGACAAAGGATCTACCAAGTGCAGTACAGGGATTCAGGATAAATCCTGAGGGGACTTGACTGACCTTATCAGATGCAAAAGTTACATTTCTTGTTATATAGGTCTTGCTTTATCTTGGTCTTAACCATCCAGCAGAAAAGTATAAAAATGAGGTATATAAAGTTAAGCCATATTACTATGATGAGCTGTAAAAGGCTCAAGTCAATAACTTCTGAGGATAACCCACTAATATTACAGACTGTTAGACAGTGTTAGATTGTTTAGCTGAATTCAAACACCTATAGTATTTAGATGCCAATAGAATATCCACCTCTGACAGGACAAAAAAAAAAGGATACAAAGGAAAGACCACTTTGTATTTATATATACAAAACAGGATAAATACACAGCTACTTTCACTCAATTCAGTGAGAAGAAAGAGGTGTATTAATAGTGTTTGCACAGGAAATCCTGTCTGCTTCTTGTACTATGGATAACCACTAAGAAGATAACAATGTATTGATTATTGAAAATGTCCTATTAATCAGCTTTGAAAAAAAAGTACAAATTCTCTATGATGATTGTAATTGTTATGTATATCTAAAATATATCAATAAAATCTAATGTATTGATTACCAAAAATGTCCTATTAATCAGCTTTGAAAAAAAGTACAAATTTTCTATGATGATTGTAATTGTTATGTATATCTAAAATATAACAATAAAACCTAATATAACCCCCCCAAAAAAATCCCCAGTTCCGAAAAAAAAATAAATAAATGTGAGATGCTTCGAGGCTCTGGGCTCACTTGGAGAGAGACTAATCTCAGTGACATCTCTGAAGCTACATTCAAAAAAAAAAAATTGAAAAACAATAAATATTAAGGAAATATAAAAAATACACACATCAGTATCATCACACATCAGTGTTAAGACAGATGACACATCAGTTAAAGAACATATATAATTATATTGGAAATATACTAGTCTATTATCAGCATAATAATCCTGTTACGAATAACATACATATACCAACAAATTAGACAACTTATATGAAACCAACACATACCCTACAAGACACAACAGGGGGCCTGGCCCTAGCTCAGTTCTTTAAGTGGCTGCTTCCACAAAGCTGTCAGCCTCAGGTTGCTATGGTTTGATCCCCACAACTCAAGCCAGCCCAACCTGCCCTGAAGGCATTCGGAGCAAAAAAAAAAAAAAAATCCTTCTGCCTTTTTAAATAATAAAATAAAAAAATAAATAAAAAATAAATAAAAAAGACACAAAACAGAAAAGTTTTGAAAAAAATCAGTTTTGCAGTTTCTTATAAAGTAAACATCTATTTACATGACTCAGTAAATATAGTCAGAAACTTTATCAAGAGGTATTAAACACATGTCTCAGAAAAATTGGTACCTAAGCACTCATTTGTGCTAAATAATAAACCCAGCTTCAAATAACTATCAACAAAATAGCTAGGCAATTCAACTATTAATTCTAATAGCTATTCAAATAACTATCAACAAATAGCTTAGCACATCATGGCATATCAACATAATGAAATATGCAGCAAAAACACCCATGGAGTTACCAATAATAAACCATCTTTACTCTAAATGAAAAAGGCTAGACTTAAATAATACAAATTGCATGGGTCTACTTTATATAGAGCACTTAACATGAAATCGATAGCGACACAAGGCAGATCACTGGTAACTTGAGGTCATAACAGGGCTTAAAGGTAACTGTGAAGAGGTCTAAATACATGTTACTGGTTAAGGAAAACTGGGTTCTTTAGCTAATTATCATGGCAGTTACATGACAGCATACATATGTCAAAATGTCAACTGTACACAATAAAATGCACTCACAAATTAACTTTTGAAAAAGATACAGTTGAGCTGAGTGTTATGTCTAGGACTACTATTTGGATCAAGTGCTATTCCCATTCATACCTTTATTCTCCAGTTGTCCCCAACATCCTCTTTAATTCGACTTAACCAAGATTCATTGAACCAAGCAACATCACTAAAACAGAAGTATAAATGTTAAACATTAAAATACTTTTATTACTTAAAATATCAAATTGAGTCAACAGAAAAAGTTATTTTATAAGCTTACAGCCTATCTTTATAAAATTAGTAAATATCTGAATAAATCTAATGAATGTTTTGTGATTCTTAAGGGTTTCACTTAGGCTGGCATGTTAATTATTTAAGTCACTAATAGCTTCAATTTAACAAACATTTAATAAATATTTAATGTTGGACATGCCACTAGCAGAAAGATCTAAAAGTAATAACCCTGAATGGATAAGTAGAAAAATGAACATTTTTAATGAGCATATTTCATTTAAACATTATAGTTGCTTGACAAAGGATATATTACTGTTTTCAATCTTCCTATTTGGGAAAGTAGGTATGAGAAAGGCTAGGCCATTTACTCTGATCCTGGTACATAGTAAAGTGCAAAGTAAATCAATTTGACTAAGTAGTAAGTTTGCAACAGCCACAAAGGTGAGTTTAATATTAATTAGAAGTCCTACATTAACTCTGCAGGTCAAGACAAATAACTGCTACACAAAAGGTTTTAAAGGACAAATGGCTATATTTAGTGAACTATATTAATAGATTATATTATAGATAAATATGGATACTATGTGTTCAAATAAATTGAGCAAAATTAATATGAAGATAAATAATTTACTATTTTGAATCTGAGAAACTGCTAATAAAGGAAGAAAGTAGAGAACACACACACAAAAAATCTACCCTCAAAAGAGAATATAACAATGCACTAAGAGTTAACTACAAAATCATAGAATGTCAGTGCTGAAGTAGTCTTAAAGGTCTCATCTATACTTTTTCTAAAATGGGGGAGGGCTCTTTTCCAAGGTTATATTTTAAATTTAAAATGCAAAACTGAAACAGTTACATGTTAAGCTTAAGTAAGCTTGCTGGCTAGTATAATCAAAAAGTCACTGCAACATTTTCAATTAACTTATTTAGAATTTGCAACGATTTTCTTTTGAATAAATTTATGTTAGTTGTATTCAACTTTTTTCCAGATGGTGAGATTATAATTATCAAAATAATTTAGCTAAATATATCAATGATATACTGCTAAGCAGATATTGACTTGAAATAACTGAGTAGCCTTTCTTTATACATTAGAATATGTATTCAAAAAGTCTTAGATGAGTCATGTCAAGGTGTGATAGTTACTTTTTTTTTTTTTTTTAAGTACTAGGAATTGAACTCAGTGCTGTCACACTGAGCTACACACCCAGACCTTTGATTATTATTTTTTCTTATTAAACTTTCTTTTAATTGACATTGCTTTTTATTTTAAAACAGGGTATCATGGCCTGAGGAATGTCAACTATTCAACATGGAGGTGGAAGTCAATAAGCTGGAACTAATGTTCCAGAAAGCTGACTCTGACCTGGATGATATTCACTGCAGGCTGGAATATGAAATCAAGTCTGATCATCATGATTCAGCAGGAGAGAAAAATTCACTAATGCTCTTAAAGAAACTGTCAGCAATCAAGTCTTGATACTGAACTTTGTATGCACATTTTAAACCTGTTGCTACTGAACAGAAAGAGACTAAGAGCCGCATTTATACTACTTTGAATAAGACTATGACTATGATAGAAGAACTACAAAAGCAAACAGATGTGGAGCTGTTACCACTGACTGAAGAAAAAACGAACAGAACAGTTAAAATTTTACATGCCACACTTACAAAGACATGAAATTGCAAAAGAGAATTCTAATGAAGAAGAGATTAATTGCAGAGAAATATAAAAAGATATCTTATTAATAGTTCATAAGTATAGAGGGGCGATCAAGATGGAGGAGGAGGCAGCTTGGTTTGAGTGACTAGGAAGTGATGCCTTTCATAAGACAAGGATTAAGAAGGCAGATATTATATTAATGAAATTCAGCCAAAGGGTGGAGTGGAATAAAAGGATAAATAAATATAAAATTAAGGAAGTGCCTTGATATTAATTTTGTATCTGTTTTCTTTTTGTATTATTGGGATAACAGATGTTCTGGCTTATAAAAGAATGCTTGTACAAAAAAAAAGTACACAGTATATCACTAAGTTGCTAAATTTCCCAGGCTGAGCTTCAAACTAGGATCCTCCTCCCTCAGCTTGTCAGGATGCTGGGGATATAAGGTAAATACCACCAACCCTGGCTATGATAGTTAATATTATGTGTTAACTTGATTAGGCCATACTACTCAGATATCTGGAGAATCATATCTAAACATTTCCATAAAAATGTTTTACAGTAAGATTAACATTTAAATCAGTAGACTGAATGAGGCAAGTACCTTCTACAAGTGAATGGGCCTTATCCAATCAGTTAAAAGTTGAAAAAGAAAGTGCAGATTCTGTATTTGCAACTGTGCAATTAAATCAGCCAATTCCTTACAATAAGCATCTCTGCATGCACACATACAATCACACACACACACACACACACACACACACACACCCCAACATTACCTTACTGGTTCTGCTTCTCTGCAGAACTCTTGACTATTATCCTAGTCTTCTAATTGGCCCTGAAAGAAATCTAAATCCAGTATATGATCCTATGATGAATTTCCTTTAGAAACTGAATCCAGAGATTAATCCCATTCTTCATATGTTGTTAATCCAAAATAATTTTTGCTTGTTTTACATTACTCCTTACCTTCTTTTCCTACCCAAATCATCTTTAGTCACTTCTCCACAAGAACATATGTCCTTTTTTCTTTCTTATAAATAAATTCAAATAATTGTGACAATTGTTCAAATAATTGTGACATCCAATCCTTCTCAGGTGAGACTCAATTTCAGAACTATCTAGACATATTTTTTTTTGCATTGGTATATCTATAAGCTTTAGCATGTTCTCCAACAATAACTTCTTTTCCTATAGTTCTCAGAACTTCAATGACACTCAAGGAATATGAAGTAAGAAAGGGGACAAAGGGCTTACTAACCAAAGTATAGCCCAATTATTTTCTAATAAAACTAAGAAAAATTCACTACATGATTATATTTAACTCCTTCCATGGCAGATGCATTCACTTTCAACAATTTTACCAACAAAATTCAGGTAGTAATTAGTACCTACTGCTTACTATAACTGTTGTCACTTCAAAGGACACCCTGAAACTACTATTCTTGAATAATCAAAACCTATCTGTGCTGAAGATGTCAAACTATGATCTGCATTTTGGACATGCACTTAAAAAAATTCATTCATTTTTGTTTTATTAGTATCCCAAATTAAAAAGCTATCAGAAAGACCATAAGATATTAGGTTTTTATTACAACTGATTATAGGCAATAGCTTTGGAGTCAGATCAAACGGATACAAACCTTAGCTTTGCAATTTACTCATTAATTATTTTTCCAAAAGCAATGTCACCTCTCTATTCCACTGTCCTCATGCATAAATTGAGGATAAGAACGGTTTTTACCTAATAGAGGAGTAAAAAGTAGATAAAATAACTGACATAATGTGATCTATAATGTCTTTAGTAAATACTCGTATGTTGTTTAACATGGTTGTCATTTTAGATATTATACTCAAATATGTACTGCATAAATGAACAAATAACTGTGTGAATAATCTATATTCTATCTTATTTTTCTCCCTCTTATAAAACAATTCACCCATAGGCAACAGAAACAAGTGCAGGTTATTCAGTGCTTAAAGTGTTTGTCACTTTAAGAAAGCCAAAACTAGGATGAAGAAAAGGACAAAAGAAAGAGAGAAGGAAAAAAGATATATTTACATATATACACAGGATAGCTTTCATAATTGTACTGCTGATTTCTGCTGGCCTAGTGAAAGGAGAACTGAAGGCTAAAATTATTTTTTCTTCCCCTTTTTAATTTCTTATAACTTTTTAAAATCAATTTTGTATGCTTATATCTGGTAATTTAGACAACTAATTTGAAGACATTATGCAATATAACAACCATTGTTGAATTCATATTATTTTGTTTAGTGAAATTCTGTATTGTTTGTAATGTTGGTTTGTTTTGTTTTTTCACAATGTTTTGTCTTCAAAAAATTAAAAAAAAATTAAAAGAAAGTCAATTCTTTCTTCTGCAGAAATATGCATTCTTATAGTGGTAAGCATAGAAATTATCAAAAACAAAAAGATCCTATTTTTAAGTTTTGCTAATCCTTGTTATAGTATTCGTAAATGTAATCTTACTTGGAAATAGGGACTCCTCAGATGTAATCAGGTAAGATAGGCTTACACTGTGTCAGAACGGGTGGCAATCTAATACGACTAAGGCCTGTAGAAGAGACACAGAAACAGACACAGAGGGAAGACAACCACATAAAGACAGAAGAGGCTGAAATTATGCTGCCACAAACCAAGAATTCCAGACACTACCACAGGGTGGGAGAGGCAAGGAAGAACATCCTCCTAGAAGCTTTGAAGGGAGAATGACCTATCTAACACCTTGATTTAGTCCTTTACTTTCAAAATCTTAAAAACTGATTTTTATTGTTCTATGCCACCTAATCTGTGGTACTCTGCTACAGCTGTCCTAGAAATTAAATATACTTAAAGTTTGTGTGTGTGTGTGTGTGTGTGTGTGTGTGTGTGTGTGTGTGTGTGTGTTTAATGTATTTAAGACGGGCCAGCCAAACAGCTCAGCAGATTAAAGCTCCTGCTTAAGCAGACTTAGGGGCCAGGAGTTTGATCACTGGCACTCTGAGACAGTGATTGAGATTGGGAGTGGTGCTGTAATCTCAGCTCTTGGGAGGCTGTAATCAGGAGGATCACTATTAGTCCGATCTACACAGTGAGACCCTGTAGACTCTGTAGACCCTATCCTAAAATACAAAATAAATAAATAAATAAAATAAAATAAAAACAAAAATTTTGCAGGGGGGCCACGATTCGATCCCCAGCTCCACATGCCCCACCAGACCCACCATTAAGGCAGGCTAAGCTCGCCAAAAAAAAAAAAAAAAAAAATCTTAATATATTTAAGACA